TGAAAACAATGTGTCTGTAGAATTGGAGGCATGTTGACTAGAGATGGGGCTGGAAAATGCTGTGGGGGAAGGCAGTACGTCTTCAAGCTTCACGCTGCTTTCAAAAAGCAGGTTGGGAAGTGTGACTAAACTTGATTTCCCCTTTCCCCTCCTTGTGTTCATTCATGTGCTTATTCATTCAGCAAAACTAATTGAGTCCCCATTATGTCTAAGGTTCTGGAAATCCAGAAATGGAAACAGAATCCCTGCACTTAGAGCTTGAGGAAGCCATCAAGAAGTGGTCACGTTGCGTGTAATAGTCTTATAGTCACAGTCTTATACCCAAGCGTCTCAGGAGCTCAGAAATTCTGAGTTTAAATTAGGGGAGTTCCCAGCCCTTTGGTGAGGTTCGTCTTAACTTCTCTTGTTAGAAAAGCTGGAAATGGCTTTAATGGCCAGACAGGCTTGGCTTTAAATCCTGGTTGCGCCATTGGCTGTGGGACCCTGGGGCACCTCCTAAGCTCTGAACATCGGCGACCTCGTGTGCCAGTTCTCAATTTCCTGACTCTCAGCTCTGAGCGCTTCCGTCAGTGATGCTCTGCTCATGATAGAATTCCATTAACCATGTCTCTTCAGATGAGCTCGCTGTGAAGCTTTGTCCACAGAGGGTGCTGGAAGGACAGTGCAAGAAAAAGAGGATTCCTGTCATTTCAACATCGGTGGCAGTTGGCGATAGGGGTGTGTAGCCACCCCATAGAGCCTGTCCCAGCCATGGGGCCCAGAACATGGTCCATCCATGCATGATCTTGTAACCTTGGCCTCATGATAACCTTCCTGCAACCCTCTCTACTCAGAAACCAGAGCTCAGCATGGCCCACCCACTCTGGAGGCCTCTTGCCTGTATCAACATCCAGGATTCCTCCACAAGCCCCCCGTGTGGACTGTACACAGCCACCTGTGGCCCCAAATTTCTGGGACTATTGTTCCCTCTCCCTACCCCCATCACATGTAGCCCATCCAATGTGAAGGCCTTGGCCTCTGCCCTGCCAGTGCCCTGGACACCATCTGTTCCCACCTGCACGTGGAAGGGTGGTCTATTGCTTGCCCAGCAGTTCCAGACCAGCTTTGGCCTGGCTAAACCAGTGAACTTCTCTGCTACCTGATGGCCTGATTGCATCTTCCCCAATGAGGTCTGAGCCCCTTTCACGTTGTCCTTCCTCGGGATCTCCCTCACCTTAGAGCCCCATCGTGTTTCTCTCTACCTTAGTTACTCTTCTATTGCAATGAACAATTCTTGATATTGACCTGCCCTTATTTAACCCACTCTGTGGTTTCTATCTTCTGGTTGGACCCAGGCTATTCCCCTCATCAGTAAAGAAGAGAGACGATCGCCTAGTAGTTCAGATTTATTTTACCAATCAAATGAGAAAGCCTTTGTAAAGCCCAAAGCACACTGCTCTGCTCGTTAGGGTTACTCAGTTCTCTCTTTGCCTTAGCCACGACTTCCTTTTCACAGAGAACAAGGGAAACTGCTGTCAGTGAGGACTGACAGGATAGTGCCGATGTGCATGTGGTTAGCCTTAGAGGAAGAGACAGAGGGTCAGAGGGGCCAGAGAGATTACTTGGGAGCATGCATGCAATGCTGGATTGAGCTGAACCCAGGTGGCCAGTCCTCCAAGTCCACACTCCATGCACCACGCTCGGCTTCCTCCTAGAGCCCCAAAGCCCCCTTCTTGTCACCTGAATGAAAATAATTTTCTTACACAACAAAACCTGCTGAGTCTCACCACTCGCTCCCTGATGAGAATAGCTAAGCAGCAGGAGAATCATGTGTTGGAGTTCTCTCATAATGACTTAACTAAGAGACGTCCTAAAAGAAAGGCCTGAATTATTTGAAAGGTGTGAGTCTGTGGTTTCTCTTTCTCTATGAGTCGGCCTCTGCATGAGACCCAGGGGCCTGTCCTTGGAACGGATGCTTTAAGTCTTGACAAGTATGTACTGGCTGTTAAAGGCCCCACTTTGAGAAAACCCATTGGTTAGTTAAAATCAAATTTATGGAATTTCCCATCAGCAGTGGACTAAATACATGAATTGTTGCTTGAATATATTTTCTAAAAGGCCAGAAGTGTTTGTTATGTTTACTGATACTTCCTAGTGATTAGAACAGAGCTTGGTATATAGATGTTCAAGTAAATACTTGCCAAGTAGATGAATTTACACAGTCAAGGATTTGCCATATATATATATATATATATATATATATATATATATATATATATATATATATATATTTACATGTGGGGCTTCACCAGGCTAATTTAAAGTAGGATTTTATTTTAAAAGGAAGAGAGAGGGGGAGTGAGTATGCCTTAATAGGAACATGACTATTTTGTAAATCGAGGCACGATAGCATGGCTATGATGATATATTCCAAAGACAAAGCTCATCCAAATCAGAGCTTACTTGTCCTGTGTTTTCCCCTCTCCAGGTGTTAGCTTCTTCTCCATATCAGCCTGTAACTCTGTTGATATGGCAGCAAGCAATAACGAGTGTGTAACCTCCCAATAAGTAACAGTGGTTTAACTTGAGCCCTTTGGAAAAATTTGCCGAGGGCCTGGCAGAGAATTCTGCATATGGCAGCTAATCCATAAATGTCTGCTGGCACTGGTGCTATTGTGATGAGGGCAAGATCTTAAAATAAAAGACTGACATAGGTAGTGGAAATTCAGGCAGGAGAGGAAGACTCAAGCAAGGGCCATGGTGTTTGGGGTTAGACAGTCTCCCTGCACATCTCGAATCATGACCAGGAAGCTACCCACACTCTCTGTGCTTAATAGTTCAGTGTATGTATGCTATAGTTCATTATAAATAAAAAACCTGAACCAAAATAGCAAATGAATTGAACGTTCTGTACAGGTGTCAAAGACATTCAGGTGTGGAGGTGAAGCCAGGCACACATTAAACACCTCGATACCTTTTTGAAAGCTTACTTCTTTAAAAAAAAATTTTTTTTTATTGGGGAACAGTGTGTTTTTCCAGGACCCATCAGCTCCAAGTCAAGTAGTTGTCTTCAATCTAGTTGTGGAGGGTACAGCTCCGTGGCCCATGTGGGGATTGAACCGGCAACCTTGGTGTTATGAGTACCGTACTCTAACCACCTGAGCCAATCGGCCACCCCAAAAACCTTACTTCTTATTTCCCAGAAATTAGCTTCCTTGTTTTCCCTTTTCCGGTTTAATATCATGAGAAAATGGGCTATCAAAACAGAGTAAATATATTTTTCTTTTTAGAAACACCAGAGTGTGAACCAGTATTGCCCCTGTATACGGTTAAGTCTGTTTCAAAATAGAGCTGTCCCAGAGTCAGGAGCAGATGGGCCCAAACCCTTCAAATTTGGAGCTGGAATGGCTGACGTTGGGTAGCACTGTCTCACCCGGTACATGGTTCATTCACTTCCTGCTTCTTTCAACAAGAGCTATGGAGAGCTTGGTAGGTACTAACCATGACAGGCCTTGAATACAATGTACCATGGGAGCGATCGCCCTGCACATGGGCATCTTGCCTGTGTTGTACCCTCATCACCTGGGATTCTCCCTAGTACCTTGGGAGCATTCAATAAATATTTGTTGAATCCATGAATGGTCCCAGCACTCATAGAGATTATAACAGGAATTATAGTAAATTTCTTCATGTTTAATAAATACTTTTATGCCAATGAAATCTGAGTTAAATGAGCATCAGGGTAGCTTTAAGGAGAAAAGGTGACGTGAATCCCTACTGGCCGCAAGCAGCCTGGGGGGAGTACAGGAGGGGGTGTGGTTACGCTGTTGCCTGTGTGCCACTGGATGTGTGTAAAGGGATTGATGATTCTCATCTGTGGTTGATGGAAATAAGCCTCAGGTCTCTGGAGCTGCCCTGTGCACAGGAACAGTTCAGCTTTACTTTGTCGTACGCTGTCTCCTCCCGCCTTTAAGCCCAGGCATTGGTTTCTGCACATTTGAATGTGGCTGCTTCAAAGCAGGAGTCCTGGGGGCAAAGATGGCAAAGCTAGTAAAAAATTAGCAGCAATTCCCTTCTCCTTAGCTGGGCATGATGTTGATATGCATTGAAATAATCAATGAGTTAAACGTTTCTAGAGACAAGAATTTAGTCAAAGTTTGCTGCTTCCTCAAACAATATCCGATATCACAGAACATTCAAATAGTACCATGATTCCTTCCTTCCTTCCTTCCTTCCTTCCTTCCTTCCTTCCTTCCTTCCTTCCTTCCCTCCTTCCTTTGTCCCTCCATCCCTCTTTCCCTTCCTCCCTCTTTCCCTCTCTATCTCTATCTTTCTCTGTCCCTAATTCTAAGCAGCCCTGGGTCCCCAATTTCTTGTGGACATGTTTCATCTGTCATAAGGCATCTGTTTTAAAGTGGGGGTGGCATTCTAAGATTTTATGACCTTCCTGGAGCAGAAATGATTGGCAGTGATGATGGCCAATCATAACCCTATTACTTCATTAGAGGTGGCCTCAAAGGCCGCGCCTCTCTGTTTTTTAGTAACATTATTAACCAGCAAGGTGTCATATCTGGGGATAACATTCACTCTATGCCACTTAATAAGCACTGCATTTTTCATTTGTTATGATCATGTGAAATGTATCTTTCTGGAAAGGTACATACAAGCTTTTATGGCTTACTTGATCAAAATAGTTAATATTCAATTTATTTCCATCTTTTTTCTTGAGAGAGAGAAAACCAAAATCATTCAATGATGATTCTCAGGAACCTCTTTGCTTATAATGGGCAATTTGAACAAGGGTCCCCTGGAACATACTGTTGCTTAAATTTGCATCTCTCCAGGAAATCTCTAATAGCTAGAGAGAGTTTGGGGATTCGTGTTCAGATTTCAATCATTCCTGCTGCTCTTCTTGTTTATTATTACAGTCATCAAGGATTAACACTCTTAGCATTGCAGTTACGCCCTATTGTGGGCTCTCCCAGAAACAATTCTATTAATATCGCTTTTCATCTTCCTAGGTGCAAATTCAGGAAACAGTCAAGGAAAGAATCTCTCTCAGCCAGATGCCAGCTTTCTCAGAGCCCGTCGGGGAGGAGTCTGCATTTACTGGGACCACAACGAATTCCTTCCCCAACTTAGGAGCGATCAACGAGGAAAATGCGTCACTGGCCCAACACCTGGAGATAGAAAGGTGTACTCAAGGCCCACAGCAAGAAGAAAACCAAGACAGAGAAGACAATGCACCTGGACATATCTGGGAAGACCTGGGACCTGAGCTCAGCCTCCCAGGAGCCAATCACGCAAATATGTCCAAATGTGAGCTGCCAGTGCGCCTCCCCCAAGAGGGCGGCACTGACGCCAGGGAGCCCGAGGTTCTCTCTGTTGCTTTCCCTGTACCTGCAAACATTGTCCCCACCCTGGAAACTGTGTGTGATGGGCCAAGAGGCAGAGAAGCAGTGTGTGTGATGGAGCTTCTTGAAGCAGGAGACAAAGGAACATGTGACACCATGGATCCTCAGGTTGGAGCCCCAGTGGATAAATATTTGCCTCAAGAAACTTGCTTCATAGACTCAGAGTTGGCAGAAAGTCAAAGCAAAGTATCTGATTTATGTTCACCTGATGAGAAGACACTGGACGTTCCTTGTCAAACACAAGATTCAGAGCCTCCACAGTCTACATGCAGGAGCAACAAGGATAGAAACTCGGCTGTGTTCCCTTCTTCTATCATTACCTGCACCGGGAACATTTCACAAAAAATCAGTGAAAGTGCCACAGGGGAAAATCCAGCCCAGGTAGAGAATGCCACCTCCATGCTGGCCTCCACAGGACAGGCTAACCAGGAGATGCTGAGCCCCAGCGTCTCAGGTGGGCTTGAGGAAAGACAGCCTCTATCTTCTGAAAAGAACTCTTCGGTGCAGTTTGAAAAAGGAGGTGACGAGAGCCCCAGTACCAGTTCCCCGGATACCACAGACATACCAGCCAGTCATAGTTCAACTGTGAAGTTCCCTCAAGAGATACCAACAACATTAACTGATAATCTTGAGGTAACCAGGGAGAGTGGGGACACGCCCACTGTTACCATTGCCACCAATGTCCACCCAGCCAAGTACCTCCCTGTTTCAATTGCTGGGAATAGCCATGCAGATGGTCCTGAGGAGAGCTCACCTCTGTTACCACATGACGATAGTTTTCAACTTCTTGCCAATGGACTGTTGGGTCCTATTTTAAATGGTTCTACCATTGAATCTCCAAAAGAGCCCCTTTGCATGGCTCCCAGGGAACCAGGAGTCCCAGTCTGTGTTCTCCCACTCTCAGAGGGAGAAGGTTTCTGTAGCAATTCCCCTCTTCACATTGATAACCAGCCTGGAGATAAGAGCTGTACCATGGACAGAGCAGACGATAGGAACCTTGAAGAGAATTTCCAAGAAAAAGGAAGTGAAACAACACAGAGAGTCCAGCAGGAGAGACTACCCCACCAGGGTTCTCTTTTAGAAGATAATTTCCAAGAAAGTTGCCCTATGACATCTACTGCTCAAGGGGACATAAACCCAGTGCCCTTGGACCACTCATCAGCAAACTCTGGGGAAGAAAGAAGGCAGAGGTCAGGCCTGGGGACTAGTGTGTCTGTGGTGGCTAAAGCTACTGTGGAAGATGACAGTCAGGCTGTGAGTAATGATCCACCACTGTCTAATATCCTCCCACAGGAGTATCAACAGAGTGGACCAGGACATTGGGAAGCAGGCAGCAAGCTGAAAATTATAACTCTAGAGGCTCCTGTTGCAGAAGTCTGGCCATCAAGACAACTGACAGATTCTGAGTGCAAGGAGTCAGGAGCTGGTGCCGTGATTCCTGACAGGGTCTGGGCTCTATCTGATGTTCTGAAAACAGCTGCTGCTGGGCCAGAGCTGGACCCCTCTGAAATAACAGCATCAGCTTATAGTCCACAGGCTGGGTCTGGCTCAGCCCTTGCTAATAGAAGAATCCACCGTACACACTGGAGTAGTCTTTCTTCCCAGTATTTGAACCAACCTCGATTCCTGGAGTCATCTGTGGACCCTGTAGGTGAGCGATTATGTGTCATGGATCTGCCATCAGAGGCTGCCGAAACTGGAGGGCAGGAAAGTGTTAGCACTGTGAGTCAAAACCAGGAGGAAAACCACCTCAGCATGGATCACGCTGCCTCCTTTAAACAGTGTCTGACCTTCCCTAAAATCCTAGAGTCTTCTGTAGATCCCATCGATGAAATGGGTGTGGTGGAATGGAAGGCGGAAACACAGGAGCCTTCTGAATCCGCTCTGCGGGTCATCAGAGAGGAGAATACATTGAATGATGGCAACTTGGACCAGAGAGTGGACATCCAACCTGCCATCTTGCCAGTCCCATGCCCCCAGCAAAGTGGGGGAACAATTTCAAGTGAAAACAGCATCAACAGAAACCAGGAAGCCAGTGACAGAGGGGACGCTGGTCAAAGTCAACATGACAAAGCAAAAGTGGACATCCAACCTGCCATCTTGCCAGTCCCGGGTCCTGATGGAGGTGGGGAGACAATTCCAAGTGGGTACAACAGAAGCCAAGCACAAGAAGGCCATGAGAGGCGCTCAGGGGTGGCTGAGCAAAGTACAAACCACAAAGCCGATTTTGTTTCCCCCACTTCACCTCTTTCTAGCTGCCTTGCAATGACTCATGCATCTGTTGGAGTTGATACTCACAACACCATAGGTCAAATTCATGACGTCCCTGAGAATGACTTAGTGGAGCCCAGAAACCTTCAATGTGCGTTTTCTGAGTCAGAGGAGAGGGGGGCTATCATGAGTGAGTGTGATAAACACTTGTGCTCTCCTAGTGGTCTTACTCAATTGCCTTTTGCTTCCTCTCCTGCGGGAAACATCACAAACTTTTCAATCAGCCACAAAATAGAGGAGCCCCAAAATGGGGACACCAAAGCCAGTGCATCGGGCTCCCCAGCAGTGACTTTGGCATTCATTTCAGGAGAATGTGTGTCAGAGACAGTTCCTAAGACACTGCAGGACCCGTGTCAACCCAGCCTCACCTTGGGCCATGGGAGAAAGTCAGGGGAGCAGAGCCTCACTCACATGGCAGCCCAGACCGGCAGATCCCAAGTGACGGCGTCAGAGGAGGTCAAGAAGAAGCAAAAAACCACAGGAAGCGGATATTTAGCTGAGGGAGTAAAGAAGAAAATTCTGTCCAAGGTGGCTGCCCTGAGGCTGAGATTGGAAGAGAAGGAAAATGCCAGAAAGAACTCTGGCTTTCTTAAAAAGATTCCCAAACTTGAAACATCAGTATCACACACAGATGAGAAAAAAGACCTCCAAAAGCCACCTTGCCAAAGAGAAGGAAAAGGTGAGGCTCTGTGGCATTCTGTCACTGTTAAAATGTGGGTTTTTCAACCAGATGTGAAGTTCCCATGTCCTCCTGAGTCCTGTGCAATTAAGGTGGGTGTAGACCAGGTGGGCATTGATGCTATGGCTGTGACTAAATAGCTCGGCACATAGGTAGGCCCGCGGTTCTCAAACTCGAATGGCCCCTGAATCACCTGGAGGGTTTGCTAAAACAGTGCTGGCACCACCTCCAGGGTTTCTGATTCCATGAGTGGGCTTGAGAAATTGCATTTCTAGCAAGTTCCCAGGTGATCTTGGGGGAGAACCACTGATACAGGCTGCCTGTTGGTGTTTAATCGAAGGAGCATGATTAAGATTCCCTTCTGTTTAATTATCCTTTAAAAATATATTTTTAAAAGATAAACAGAAGCATTAATCAGTGTAGCTAATTAGTATAATTAAATAGACCACATGTTAAGTAGGATTTCCAGAAATAAACATTTTTAGGTACAATTTGGGAGTCTCCTCTTTAATCATTGGTGTTCATTAAAAAGGGCTTCATTGAACATTGGGGTTTCCTTCCAAATTTGAGTATAAAACTCCTTTCCAACTCACCCTCCCTTTTATCTGAGTCTAAAGTCCCCTGAGGTCTCTGTTTCAGGGTTCAGACTCCTTGTGGCTCAGAATCCTTGTATAAAAATTGCAGTCACTTCTGCTTTGCCCAGGGAATCACTTCAACCCCAATTTCCATCCCATCACCTGAATTTTGGCCTCTTTTATGTCATGTTTTAGCCCCTTCCCATGAAACCTGGTAGAAGTCAGAAGAGAAGATATTGTAGTAAGTGAAGGGACTTGTGGGGGGCTGGAACAGAGCACAATCCACCCCCCCACCCCCGCACCTCCCCTTAGCTCCAGGAGAGGGGTTTTTCCTCTTAATGGAGTCCTCAGAGTAGGAGGCTGTTGCTTGTCATCCCCTGTCCACATCTAAGGGGCCCGCCCTCAGCCCTGCTACAGAAAGCATTAAATACAAAACTGCTTTCGGAAGAGTTTGGAGGGATCCAACCAGGTTATTAGTATACACTTTTAAAGCCCATTTAAAGACAATGAAGCAGTGTTTTAAAAGATCTCTACAGTGGGTCACGCCAGAGGTGAACAATCCATTTGGAAGTCTTGTCCATGGTGATTCAAGTTACCCGGGAGAAAAAGGACTGTCCCTGGACCGCATGCAGCTGGAGAGTTTGACCTCAGCTGCCACACAGGCCCCCTGAGCACAAAGGATGGCAAAGACAAGGGGTGCAGCATTCGGGGAAGGGCAGTGCTCCCGCCCCCGGGACCTACTGGGGTGAGAGTTGGGGATGACTTGGATGATTTTGAAAGAAATGGAACAAACTGAGTAACCTAGTTTGACATTCAAGGCTCAGTACAGCTCCACTCCCAGACCTCCTCTCAGTTCCTTCGTCTTTGTTGCTGGCTCGACCCCACACAGACAGGGGCCCTTTCCAAAGCCCCGAGGCCTCTCGTCCACGCCAGCTTCGTGTCGCTCAGAGACCCTCATTTAGTTCCACTGCCCATGTTATGCCCGTCCCTCTGTCCCCTCATTTCCTCTGTGTTCAGAACTTACCACAGGTTGTGGATGGGGTTGGCATCTTAGGAACATTTGGGCTCCTACAAACAACCCAGGAGGACTGACATTGCTTAGTGGTGGCAGGGCCCTTTAGGAAATATGTCCCGGAGGAGGTGGGCTTGGTCAAGACTCTAGACTAAGAGTATGAGACTGGGGGCCTAAACAGCTAGAACAGCTAGCAACAGCCAGCAGGGCCCAAGGAATGGAAATGGAGTTGACCATCAATAAATACTTGGTATATTTTTTCTCTCTCCCATAATATTGTTAGTACCCTCAGCTGCTCTCCAGTTGAAGGATGTGTTATCCAAGCAGCCCATTATCACTTCCTTGGAAGAAAATAAACCTTTAAATATGCATTGTGTTATCCAAGTGTCTGTTGGCAGCCAAGGAGAGATGGGAAGCACGTTTAATATATCAACCATTCCACAGCAGGGGAATTTGATGCAATAGAGCAAACAAAGCATCAGTATTGATGACTTTTGTCTTGGCTGTGGATGATGATATTTTATATTACCAAAGCAAGCTGTAGAGTTATGGAACTTGGTCTCTAATCAACGGGCACCACATTTCCAGTAACCTCACTGCCAGCCAAATGATTCTGACCACCTGGCTGGGTCTTCTATCCTTGTCCTGTTCTAATGTCTATGCTGCCGCCCAGTGGCTGCCCTCAGTAACTACACATTTGTCCGGCGCTCCAAGCTCATTCCTGATTTAAAAAGTAGTATTCAAAGGTCTCCTCCCAAACCCTGGACAGGGTTCCTTATTGCTCCTATTTCATTCAAGTAGACACTTCGGTTCTGCTAATGAAATTGATATCAGACATCACTGCAAACCACCAGGATATCTTCAGCCAAAGACAACGGTAATCAGAGGAAAGATGGATGAATACTTTTCAGCAAATAACTCTTGTTGAGTTGCCTTTTACCTCTGGGAGCTTAACCACAGTTATTTGGAAAATCCAGATTCTATTTCCTAATCCCCAGCTCTGATTTTGACCTGGACCATCTGGTGACCATTTAAAAGCATTTTTATTTGAATCAGGTCCTATAGACCAGGTATCTATAATTCCCCTCAACCCTCTCCCATCTTTTAAAAATATATCTTTCAAGTCCTATTTCACTTTGTGCATTACAAACCTCGCTCAAGGAATTTTAAGTAATGGGAAGTAAGAGTTTCCTATTAGATTGATTCGTTCATTTTCTTACAGTGTAGGCCAGCCACATTTCCCCTCAGACACTCAGTTTCCTCATCTGTAAATTGAGGGTCATAATTATTACCCCTGTCTCTTGGGATTGTTGTGAGAATTAAGTGAGGTGTAATGGGGACGTCTTTTGCCCACTCTAAAAAGCTCTTTGCAACTATTATAAGAACACTGACCTGCAACTCTTCGTGTGTAGCTCCGGTATTGCTGAAAAAGATCGAAGCTGAGATGTTCCCTGATCAGTCCGGAAATGTGAAATTAAGCTGCCAGTTTGCCGAAATTCATGAAGATTCTACTGTCTGGTGGACAAAAGATTCAGAGTCAATAGCGCAAGTGCAGAGAAGGTAAGATATTTGTCCCTGGTTACTTTTCACAGTTGTTGCTTGTCTATTTCACAGCGTCATTTTAAAATAAAATAAGAAATAATTGGAAATGAAAAGGAACATTGAAGCAGAAATTTCACACCCAAAGTATCCAAGAAGAGTAAATATGGAAGACAAATGTCTGGACAGGGAAAAGGTGGTGGGTTCTTGCCTTGGCTTTGCCACCATTGAGTTTTGTGGCCTTAGGAAGTCATGAAACCTTTCATTACATTTAACAATGTAATTTAAGAAACTTTAAATTACATTTTTAAATTTTAATTTTTAAAACCATTACATTTTCATTACGTTTCAGGGAACACGTCAAATCATCTTCCAGTCTGAGGTTCTGTGGTCTCAAGATTAAAGAGCTCTCTTCTGTATATCTGTGAATTTTGCTGTGTTTTCTGTTTCATAAATTCCCATTCACCTGACAAAGATCAAACAAAGCTAAGAAGGTGAATCAAAAGGAAAGAGCAATCCGTGAGGTTGCAGAAAAGTAGCCGCTATTGAGGGTAATCAGCAGCCATCTTTCAGATGGGAAAACCGGGTTCTTTCTGAGGCCCTAGGCTGTTAGGAGAAGGAGAGAGTGCGAATCATTGCCAGGAATTTCCTGTATGGGGTGCATCTGGTCAATGGTTTCCTAAAGCACCTTCCTGGCAATAAATGCTTGTTGAAGTGAACTGACGAACTCAAGCCTCACCTGACACACCTGAGGAGATGTGGCTCTGTCTAGAAACGGATCACCTGGTTCGATGGAAACCAGCCTAACCCAAACAATTCTCAGAAGCTTCTTTCCGCCGAAGGAAGTCCAAGTTCAGCGACCTGAGTCATGGGAGGTATTCCTATCCCCTTAATCTTGTCACAAGTAGACTGAAAAAGTGAGAACATCTGAGAGTTTTCTGTATAATTAAGTCAAATATGTCTGTTTGGAACATATGTCTGGAAGTTAATGTCCCCAGTGCAACTATGAAACATTTGAGATATAGTTCTGTGTCTATAACATCACTCCAGAAAGTCTAACGGGATTGTGATTGGTGTAATAAACTCACTTTGCCTAAAATACCATCCTTACCCTGCTTGTCTCATGTATGGCTTCAGAAGAATTAGAATGGAGAAATAATAGCTTGATTTTTAAATCAAGGATATTCTCTAGAGCTTTATAAAAAAAGAAGTACGAATTATTCATTTAAAATACTACTTTCAGCCAAGTGCAATTAACCAGCACTCTCTGCAGCTTTGCTCTCAGGTCAGATTTGGCACCTGAGTCTTTCAGGTTCCTTTTCCATTTTGAGGTGTCTTTAGAAAACCTAACCTCTCTAGGGAGCATATAACATTAATAGCATGCTACTGGCTGATGATCTGTGTCCATGACCTTTCAAGCCTTACCGATGTTTGCTTCGTTTCTTCTTGGCAACACTGTCTGGTATAGGCACAACCACTTGCCTTCTTTATGCTAATCCTGGAGAATATTTGGGAGTCATAATTCTTCTATCTATTAAGCAATCATTTATATTATTTCAGGTGGGATTTCAAATGTTATCAAATTTCCTTCACCCCCTAGTTCCAGCTGAGTGTTTCCTTTACAAGTCCCCCCATGAAATATCTTACTGCCTCGTCAAGATATCATTTTCAAAAAGTTGAAATTGCTCAAGCAAACATAATAGGAGCATGTAGCAAAGATCTTCTTCAACTCATTAAATAGTGAGGAATCAGTAAAATGGTAAGCTGTTCAAAGGAGAATCTGAGCAATGAAGATTTATATGGCCAATCAGGCAAAAGAATGCTGAAATGGGTTTGCAAATATATGTGTATACAAAACTGTTCGAGTGGCACTAAACCTTGGGGGGGTTATCTTTTCTCCTGGACAGAAATCTACCAGTCCCAACTTAATAGTGTCTGGGTGGGTTCTATTGAAATAGTGAATAGCAAAGTCAAACACAGAAGCATCCTCCTATAATTACGTTCTCCTTGGGTGAGCCCATTAAACAGTGACATCCAGAGGACATGCAATCATCCTTTTCTTTTTGTCCCCACATTTTGGAGACTTTTCCTTAACAGGCTAACATGTGAAAATTAGGTTTCAGGACACTTTCTTGTGGCTAGGGAAAAGCGAATGTACTCTGAGGACACCCAGAAAAAGAAAGTGGTAGCTTTCTCTGAGTATTTGTGCAGTGTCTTGGCTCCATGAAGATCTCAAGCTGGCACCCTCCAATGCTACCTTGGCCTTCAGTACCTTCTTCGTAACCAGAGTGCCCTGGGCTTTTGAAAGGGCATTTATCCCCATGGAGTGGATTGGCTGAGAGCTGAGCAATGTCTTGGGGCATAGGCTGCTGTTGAGGGCAGGTTCTCATTGGTTGGCCATAGGAAGGACCCCTGAGGACTTCTCAGCCTAGGCTGGATGTTGTGCAATGGGTGCTTCCAGCCCTGCCTCCTCCCTGGCTCCCTGGGGCTGGTGATGGGTGATGGGGTCTTCTGAGAAGTCCCCGGGTTATGCCTTCCAGCCAATGTAGAACTTCTTAGCCATGTTACTCTGATCGCACTCATGGCAGAGGCACCTTTTGCATTTGTCCCCCTTGCTTAGCTCCACTCCTGTTCAGCCCTTTCTGCATTTGGCCATTTCTTCAGCAGTATATTAGGAAAAATACAACTTGAGAATGATGACGCAAGCCAATGTTAATGTCCCCCACTGCAGTGCAGGCGATAACTCCACCGTGTCCTTGGTCATCGTTCAAGCCAGCCAGAAGGACCAGGGCCTCTATTACTGCAGCATCAAGAACAGTTATGGAAAAGCAACTGCTGAATTTAATCTTACCGCTGAAGGTAAGCCTCAGCTTTTCCATTTCCAAGGAGAGCCACTAGCTCCAGCCAGTTCAGAGCGTTTGTATTCATTGAAGGCATTCTCTTCTGTATCTTTTTCTAGTGCTCGAACAACTTTCAAGCCACCATGATACTAAAGGTAAGCTAATCAGAGCTGGATGTCAGGGGAGATGGGCCCACCTGTAAGCATGAAATAGCTCCTGGAACCAATAGTGGGAGCGACATTCCCACGACCCTTCGAATTAAGCAGGAGAGAGTGCAGGAAATGAAGGACGGTTCATGAGCCATTTCAACCCGATTGTAAGGCCATTATAAGTTCCCTAGGTGATGAGTATCCAGAAGTGTATCATTTATGAAAGAGATCAGGCTGTAGTGGGGCGGTTGCTGGGAACATGTAGAGGGGGAATTTGGGGTTAGACTTTTTTCCTTTAAGCATCAGACTTGCATTCAGCCATCTGCGTGGAGTTTTTCAGCCCCTGGCACTTACGTAGCATGTTTCGTTTCTGCAGTTTACTTTTCAGTTTGTCTAGCTGAGCAGATTCCCACAGAGAGCCAGGTGTCTAGAAGAATAACTCCATTCATTTGCATCTTAATGAAAAATGAAAGATGGGTTTTGGGGCTTTTTTTATTTTTTGGCACTTGTGCACACCTGATGTAGCAACAGCTCAACAGCGGCTCCCGAACTCTCACCCTGCCAGGGGGCCACCCCCTGAGTACAGTCTGGTGGAGCCCATGCTCAGTTACGTATTTTCTTTTAGGGAAAATTACCTGTTCCCACACACGGACCCACTCCCACCCAGTAGCGTGCTGGTAAATTTTTAACAACTTGCCTAAGGGGTGGGGAAGGCCCTGAATTCCAGAGTTTTCCAGTTTCTGTGGTGTAAGTACTCTCACCGTGGCCAATTTTAAACTGCCCATGTGACATCTTGAGAACATGAAGCTGGGAAGAGCTGCCCACAGTCAGCTCTCAGGAGCTGGAGGGAGCCGGCTCAGGCACACCTCTCAGAACCCCCGCTCCCCATGTTACCACAGCTTTTAGCACAGTTTATGTATGACCCTTGGTCACTTTTAGGAGAGAGATAAATAAAGCTCTGATAATTAAATTGATTCAGCATCTTAAAGATGTATCACATATGCTGATTTTTAAAGCAAATACCTGAAATCTTTTTGAAAATAAGACAGCAAAGGCAACCAAGATACAGTCACATTCAGTACATGAAAGGCAAAAGGCTTGGATCTTGGCTTCGAAATGGTCTAGCAAATATTGTGATATTTATCCAAAACAACGAACTTAAATACAAACTCTTTGCCAACCTACTCCAATGCTAAGTACCTGTCTTGACTGTGTAGTGTATTTGTGATATAATTTTAAGCCCTTCCCCTATTTCTGTGCCCATCTCCCCCAAAGTCAAAATATGCAAAAGAAGGCCCTTCCTTCTTACCTCTCAGAAAACACAATTACCTTTAGAAGACGGGCTTCTCTGTCTCCTCAGCTTCTTATCATTGCTTGGCTGTCACACCTCACACACTTGCTATGACCTCATTCATTTAGGTTTGCAGAAACTCATTTCTTGAGGCTTTTACCAGTCAGGAATGAGACCCTAGAGGAGATAAGCTACCGGCCACCTGGTGAAAGTGGCGCCCCTGTGGTAGCCCTGTGACTCTCACCACAGGGTTTGGGTCTGTACCCTGAGGACATCACCTTCTGCCAGCTTCTCCCTGAGGCTGGGGGTCTAGTTTCAAGGACTCATCATGTTGGGAGGCCATACCTGTCCTTTTTCTCCCCTTGCACTTTAGATGAAGACACTTCCAATGATTTCTTTACCACCTATTTTATTTGGAGGGATCTCTCCCGCTAAACATTTTAATTTGATACCTTTGAGGAGGAACAAATAACATTTTACAAATTGGTCTCTAATTAATAAACTAGTAAAACTCAGTTCATGAGAAAGCCCCAAATGAATGACGGTCCAAATAAAATACAAAATAACACAACTTAACGATAGCACACAGGACTTGCAAAGAAAAGGCCTATGATTGATTGATCTTTGTTAAGTAGACATTTTGGTTGGAAATTATAGACTGGAATGTTAATGATATCATATATAATACTGTACAAAAATTTTATTGTAATTTCTATAGTCTGGAACATTAAATATGATGAATCTTAAAGCATAAAGTGCACGTCTTACTTTTAAGAATAATTGAATGTTAGAAATTTGGGGACTTTTAAAGAGAAACAGAATGTAGTAAATATAGTTTATATTTATTGGGCTCTGGTGTATACATACAAAACTCTTCCTAAGTGGCAGTAGGGGCCAAATTGTTATATTGAAATACATAGCTAGGATTGAGATTTGGTTTACATAAAAACTATTCCCTCTCCATTTTGTTATCTAATTTTTAAATTTAACTTTTAAAAAATGGGGCTGGCCAAGTGGCTCAGTTGGTTAAGAGCTCACTCAAGACTTTGAGCTCTGGGTAACAGCAGTTCGATGCCCGGCCCGAGCTGAGCAGCTGCTGAGCTGCCGACAGGTAGCAGGATGGCTCAGCTAAAAAAAAAAAAAAAAAAAAAATGAAACTACTCTTCTCCATAAATTGAAAATTTTTTTTCTGGTTCTATTACTTAGGATGAAATCTGTATACAACTATCTCAAAATTTATCTGGGAAAAACGTCCCACTTGCCTACCCATTTTCCTATTTCTCCACCCCAATTCTCAGTAGAAACCCAGGGCTGGTTACTCAGCAGGAGACTTCTGCTGGCCTTCGTGAAAACCCCTGGAGGACCCTTCAGAATACTCTTCCCACTGGCACCTTCACCCACTTTTTCTATTTGAAAACTCCCTCTTTCTTCTTTTCTTTCTGGCAACAACTTGGCCTAGACATTTATCAATACCCTTTAAAAATAGTTTCAGCCTCCTTATAATTTTAACAGCTACGTCAGTCATAGGCTGCTTTTGAAAGATATGATTTGAAAATATTTTTTTAAAAACAGAAAAATATTTCAGTAAATATTCTAAATAGAACGGTGAAGTGGGACTTCCACACAATCCGTAATGTCTTTCTTCTTTTAAATATTCAGGAAGGTAACAGTTTGCAATGACTTTGAGGAGTGGAAGTCATTTTTAAAAAAATTCTAAACAATCTTATTTCATTGAAAGCCATCCTACATTCTTCTCTTAGCCAGTCAGAAGTGTGACTTGGTCGTCTCTAGTTTAAAATGGAACATTCTGATTGAATCCATTGTTGTCTGAAACGTGTATAGAATCAACTCTGAAACAGCTGCTAGGAAACAAAAAATAATTCTACTTTTCTTATTACAAATAAATCTAAAATCATTCTACCTTTCTCAATTTCTCCCCAAAGGCAGCTCTTTTTACTATTTTGGATTTTGCCTGCTTATTTCTTATAGTTACCAAAGGCTTTCTCAAGAGGCGGTATTGCCCCCAAAATGGCAAAACTTGGTTTAGGGGGAGGCAAGAAAACTTATTCTTTTTTGTGTATAAAGCATAGATATACATACAGTACATAAGCAGATGTACAGTACATCTACAGAATTAAAGTTTTATAATATGAGGGGCAATTAGGAAAAACAATTCTAAAAAGGATGAAAAAAAAGGTTGAGAAACATGGATGGATCAGGTCTTATTATTGCTCCTCCATCTTCTACACCTCACCCGTTTTTTCAATTTACCTTTAATTTCCTTTCATGGTTCTGCATATATTTTCCAGATATGTCTAAAATTCTTTTCCTAGTCTCCCCAGTTTTTTTCCAACCAATCTCCCTCCCTTCTATCTGATCCACTGAGTCCTCACTCTGACCTTCCGATATCCCCCAATCCTGCTCCTTGGCTCAGCAGTGTCCCCATATAGGGACAATGACAAGGAAGGCCTGTAGGACTTAGAAGGGGAAACAACACTGAACTCCCAACAGAGCCATAGCTCCGAGATGAGAAGGGGGTGTTGGGTCATGGAGGAGGATGTGGTGTACAGCTAAAATTGAGCTATGTTTTAGGATGTGAAGAGATTGAATTCAGCCAGCTCATCTTTAAAGAAGACTTCCTCCACGACAGCTACTTTGGGGACCGCCTGCGAGGTCAGATCGCCACGGAGGAGCTGCACTTTGGAGAAGGGGTCCACCGGAAAGCCTTCCGCAGCAAAGTGATGCAGGGCCTCATGCCCATCTTCCAGCCCGGCCACGCCTGCGTGCTCAAGGTGCACAATGCCGTTGCCTATGGGACCAGAAACAACGATGAGCTCGTCCAGAGAAACTACAAACTCGCTGCCCAGGTGGGTCCACCTGCCCTAAAGGTGTCACTTGAGGTGTGAGAGGGACCCCATGATAATCAGACTCAGAATTGATGGTAGTGTCTCCAAGAGGGTGTTGTCTTCCTTTGGGGTGTGGTTATCAGAGAGCCACTGGATTAAGGCTGACTGCTGGGAATCCTGTCTCAGTTTCCAGGGATAATTACTTGGCCTTGTGTCACCCAGATGGGACTCAGCCTGTTTGGAGACACCTCACCAGTTCTGACCTGGACTGAGACCATTTCTGTTCCTAGGAAGCTCCATGAGATCTGTGGGGCCTTGAATCTACTTGGACACAGGATGATGTGGAAAGTGGGCGTTCTGAGCTAGACTGGGTGATAGGATCCCCAAGGACAGCTGAAAGAAGGAGCATTTTGTTTTGGATGGAGGAGGGATGGTGGGATATATTTAGAAGTGCAGGACGGAAGCGTTTCCTGCCTTCCTGAGTTTGGTTCAATATCAGCCCATAAGCTATGATTGACCTAAGTCTGTAAGTTCCCACCGCTCTCTGTTATTGAATCACAGTACCCTTGAGGCAAGAGGGGAGAGTGGGAGAGCATTAGCTTCTCTCTCTGCCCCCCCTCCCACCTTGGTCCATGTATTTCACTCTTGACACCCGCATGGGCCAAGCTTTCAGAAGAGTGGAGCTAGCTCTTTTACAAACTAGGGGGCCTTTATAAATTTTTACCTAAAGAATGAATAGATTAGACTTACAGGCATGCCTTTGGTGCTGTCAAGCATTAAGCATCCATGATTCTCTCAGATGTGGCAGTGTCATGTGGGCCTTGGTGCTTATGAAGCCAGCCATCTTCTCCGGGTGTAGGATTTTGTTAACTGTATTTCATTCTCCTCCAAATTCACCCTTCTTTTTTCTTTTCTTTCACTGAATATTCCTTCCATCTCAAGTATTATCTGGCCCAGCTGTGGAAAATCCCCCAGCATCCAGACTCCCACTTAAAAAGGGGCTACAGAGTGGAAAGCAGGATCCAACTTGCTTTTCATAAGCCAACAATCTTGTCAAGGTGTTCACTATTTACAGCTCAAATGATGCCTTTGGAGAAGAACCTCAGATGGGAGAGCTCATGGGAAACCCAACAGGTCCCCAGCTTTGTCTGACATCCTGTCGAGGGGCCAGTCCCCTTAGCTCAGGGATGAACTTCAGCCATGTGGTTGTACAAAGTTTATAATTGAGGGCCACCGGGCCCCAGAGACCACTTGACCTTCACCTGGATAGTTCCTTCAGGTCTCAGAGCTCCTCTGCAAGTGGACAACTGTAGGTGGCAATACTTGTTGCTTCTATGCCCCTAACCAAGGAATGGGTTTCAGAATCCATTGGCTCGATCTCTATTAGGAAATCTGACTAGCTTTACCAAGCAACTCTCTGAATTTCCTCTAATCACTTTTTCCCCCCATGTGTTTGGGTGATATAGGAATGCTATGTTCAAAATACTGCCAGATACTATGCCAAGATTTACGCTGCTGAAGCACAGCCTCTGGAAGGCTTTGGAGAAGTGCCAGAGTAAGTGTGTTTCCCCTCTCCTGTATTTCCACTGCTGGCTTGTTGGGGAATTGGGGGGCCTAGACAGACGAGAGGTTGGGAAGAACCAGTGGGACAAGCATTTCAAATGGTCTCTCTGTCTGTAAGCTATGAGGGCACACATGGCTGCTATTCTGTCATCAGAGGCTTAAAGAAAGATAATTGGTAAGTATTCTTTAAATAAATGTACAGGTGGATAGAGGGATGGATGGATAGACGGATGGATGGATTCAATAAATGTATCTATCATGTTAACTAGAGAAGGAAGGTATCTACTCTCATGGATATTACAGTGTCTAAACAATAAGAAAATATAAGAGAACACGAGACTATTGCAAACAATTAGTCCTATGATGAAAATAAAATGTGGTGCTGTGTCAGGGAAGAGTGAATTGGTGATCAGGATTACAGGAATGTATACCCACTTTCAGGAATCCCACAGAGATAAACTACACTGATTGCTTTTACCTACTCATTGACTAAATATTTATTCATCCCAGCAAATTTTAGGGTGCCTGAAGGTTGTGTTCACTGGTCTGTTTATCTGGTTGAGATTATATGTGCATGCTTAAGGGGAAAGAGACAGGCTGCGTGTTGGAAATTTCAGACAGAGCAGCATTCATATATATTAGTAGAAACCGGGAGAAGAAAGAAGGAAGGAACTCTTGTCTACACGGACCCTGTTAACTCACAAAATGGGAACAATACTCTCCCTGAGGTTGTATGTTGGGTATGCCATGTATCAAGTCCAATATTTGCTGCTGTTTACCAAGAAAGGCCTCACATACTTACTTAATACACAAACATTACTCAGCAACTTCAAGAAAAATTAACATAACACAAGGAAAATATATAACTGCTTTTCTGTTTAATGCACTAAACAACCTGGAGCAAGTTACGGCTTCGTATTATAAAAACTCACCCCGTTCTCTTTCTCCTCTAGTCCCCCTCTTCACAGTCTCTGTCCTCTTAAATTCTTCTCAAGGAGGAAGAGGGTCAACTGGTAATCGCTCCACCACACTCGGAACTGCAGTGCCCTCAGGCAGAGGCAGGCCCAACTTTTGTGCGGCTTGACTCGTACGCAGTTTGGGGCCCTCTCTAAAGAAAAAAACACAAGATGATTTATGTAAAGACTATCCAGGGACTTGGAAAGAGCCTGTGCAAGGGCTTGTCACACAGGGGCTTAATCAGTTTCATCAGCACCCCAGTAAATATGCCACTGCCCCGAAGATGGGCTAGGACATCTTGGTATCCAAAACCCCTTTCTCTTCCTTACTGTGGGAGAATTTGTGAACACATGAATGGTGATAGGATATGGAGGGATAAGGGTCCTGAAAAAGGCACCCATAGGGGATGGGTTTGTTGGATGCCCTTGCCTCTTATTTCTACACAATCTTTACAACCCAAGTCAGGCCACACCACACCTGGAAAGCCTGCCGCCCGCCTTTATGAGTTAGGAGGTGGGGGCTAGAGGCTCCTGTGGTTGCCTCTGGAAAGCAGAAACTCTGTCTTTTTCATCTCCACTCCCCTCGTGAGTTTTTGAGATTCTGGCACAAGCTATTCAGTAGACGTTTGTTGAATAAAAAGGGTGGAGTTGCCAGTCACCCAGATGGGGTAAATGTAGGAGTTTGGGGTAAATGAGTAGTACAGTTTTTGCCATGTTAAATTTGAGATGCCTTGTAGACACTGAGTGAAGATGGAGAGTAGGTCTGGAAATGTGAGTCAGGAATTCAGGGCAGAGGTCTGGGCTGGAGCTATAAATGTGGAAATGGTTGACATACGCACTGTACTTAAAGCAAGGAGGTCACTAGGGAGGGTGTGCAGAGAGAGACGAGCTGCACCCGGGCATGCCAGAGTCTTAAGGTTGGGGAGAAATGAGTAACCACCAAAGGAGGCAGAAAAGAAGTACCCAGGGAAATAGGAGGAAAACCAAGGGGAAGTAAGTTCCTGGAAATCATGGGAAGGTGTTTCAACAAGAAGTGAGACCCACTGTGTCCAGTGTCCGGTGCCACTGAGAGCAAGTATGGCAGCTGGGAAGAGACCATTAGACTCAGCAACACGATGCTCATGGTGCCCTGGACCAAAGCTTCTTTAGTGGGAAGGCCTCTTTGAGTGGATTCAAGAGAGAATGGGAGGGGAGGGATTGGAGATGGTGAGTCTACAGCTGAATTGAGTTTTGATGCAAACTGTGAGTCAGTAGTTGAAGCGGGCTGTGGGGTGCACATGCTGTATAGAAATACTGCAGCATGTTGCTATGCCCTTGGGAATGACTCTGTAGAGGGGGAAATTGATGGAAGAGACAGGGGGAACAATTGCTGGAGCGATATCCTTGAGTATTTGAGAGGGGTTGGGATCCAGGCACAAGTAGAAGAAATGGTTCAGGTAAGAGCAAGGAGGGTTCATCCATAGAAAAGGTGGAAAGGCGGAGGATATAGGCGCAGACCTTGGGAGGTGGTGATATGTGGGGTGGCAGCTTTTCGAAGTCCTCTTCTTATTGTTTCAGTTTTTACAACAAAACAGGAAGCAAGGTCATCAGCTGACAGTGGGGTTGAGGGAGGAGGTGTGGGCAGTTAGAGGCGCGTGGAGCAGGTATGAAATCATCAGTTAGGATGGTGTGACACTGAATGGATTAGCACTGAAAAATGCATTCAGGATCTGATCACTTCTCCACCTCCAGCTGCCATCATTACTGCACAGCCCCCTCACCGGATCTCCCTGCTTCTGCCCTTGTCCTCACATGGTCCATTCCATGCCAAGTGGCAAAAGGATCCCAGTAACATAGAAGTTTGATCATGTCACTCTTTTGCCCAAAACCCTCCAATGGCTTCTCATCCAACTCATTACAAAGGGTAGAGTTTTTTAAATGGCCAGCCAGACTCTCCCTGTTCTCACTGATCTACCACCATCTCCCCTTGCTCACTGCACTGCAGCCACACTGGCCCCCTCACTGTTCTTTGAACATGCCAAGAATGCTCCCACCCTGGAGTATTTTCCATTTGTTGTTGCTTCTACCTGGAGGGTTTTTCTACAGATATCCTCATGCCCCTTTACCTACACTTCCTGCAGGATTCTGCTCAAATGTGCTTTATTAGCAAGGCCTTCTCTGACTTCCTGAAATAAAATAGCAGCCCCTCCCCCACCCCTGCACTGCCTAGCTCCTCTGCACTGCTTTATTTTGTCACATAGCACGTAGAGCTATGCATTTACTTGTTTATTGTCTGTCTCCTTAACTTAAATGTAAGATCCATGAGAGCAGAGCATGTTTTCTTTACTGATTTTTTTTGGAACAGTATGTGGAAGAATGTCTGATACCTAGAAGCCACTGAATGAATATTTGTTGACTGAATGGAAGAGAGGGAGGGAGGGAGGAAAGGAGGGAAGTTGTCTGTATGATGGATAGGTGGATTTAGTCACATGACCAACAGGTCATTGAGATATGACTATAATGGGACATTCATTTATACATGAGCAATTAAACTCCATCCCAAGGAAGAGTTTCTGACCAACTGTAGGGACAAATAAACAGAAACACATCCTTTTACCCACTGAATAATCACTGGGGAATTTTTAGCCTAAATCTAATGGAACCAGGGGCTTATTCTGAAGCTCCCTGCTACTCCCGATGAGATAGAATGCCCCCAAAGTCCTTAGTCCCTCCTGAGAATGTGATGTGTGCCCACGTTCTCTTTCCTTCCAGGATCATTCCTATCTTCCTGATCCATCGACCTGAGAACAACATCCCGTATGCAACAGTGGAGGAGGAGCTGATTGGAGAATTTGTGAAATATTCTATTAGGGATGGAAAGGAGATCAACTTCTTGAGAAGAGAATCAGAGGCTGGTCAGAAGTGTTGTACCTTCCAGCACTGGGTATATGAGAAAACAGGTGGCTGTCTCCTGGTCACGGACATGCAAGGTGAGGAAAGCAGCTTGCCCCAGGCTCTGGGGACGCTGTGGGCCTAGGATGTTCCTGAAGGTGAGGAGTGGAGGTGAGGGAGCAGTCGGCTGGGTTCCCATAAACATCTTCACCAGCAGAAGGTGTTAGTAATGTCTCATCAGAAACAAGGTGTGACAAAGGAGCCTAACATGACAAGCTAAGGGAGATATAAAGTACATTTTAATAATTCATGCCAATAATCCCTTCCCATTATAAGAGGAAACCAAAGATCGACTTTATTGTTATGTCCTCAACAGGCACAGACTCAGAAGTATATATGGAAACCCGGAGATGCCACAAGATAAATTAAGATGTAATAATTCATTCTTAATAGGGGAAAGGGTCTTTCACAGTTACTTTAGATTTCAAGTTCCCCTGGCGAATTTACAGCATGTTTTCAATTTATACACACACTTTTTTAGGAATACATTTGTTGTATGAAATGGGGATGTCATACTTAGTTTTCCCACAGAGATAGCCTTGAGACATGTTGCCATTTGGGGGTCTCCAAGACCACCCTGAGGTTCATTAATCTGCTGGAAGAACTCAGAACTCAGAAAAGCCTTTATACCCATGGCTATGGTTTATTACAGCAAATGGACACAGACTCAAATCAGCAAAGGGAAAAGGCGCATGGGGCAGAACCCAGGAGAGGCCAGGTGGGAGCTCCCAGTTGTTCCCTCCTGGTGGAGTATTGTGGACAGTGCTTACTTCCATGTGTAGCGACACACATGGAGGACTGCTAACCAGGGAAGCTCACCTGAGCCTTGGTGTTCAGAGTTTTTATTGGGGGCCCATCACATAGACATGACATGACTGAGCTTGACCTTAGTCTCTAGCTGCTCCAGATTTCCAGCCGATACCACACAGCCCAAGGTCCCAGGTAGACAGAGACAGTCTTATCGAGCAGGACTTTCCAAGGGCTTAGAAATTACCTTCCACAAGTTGGGCAAGGATCGAACCTTTGTTTGAGCTAGGTCAATTCTTTACTACACAACAATGTTCAAGTACACACATTCAGGCGGAGATCCCAGGAAACACGGATAGGAAACGGAAGAAGTGTAACAGGAAAAGGGAAGGCAGCTAGTAGGGTACCTTATAATACAGCCAGTTACCACTCTGGGCAGCTGAAGCTCACGCCTGATGGGGGAACCCTGGGAGCCTTTGCAAAGCACACTTCTCAGAATTATTGTGCCCAAGGAGTGAGGGAGCAGGGCTATTTATACACCAACCGCCTTTAGTTACCAATGGGAGGCTGCTCCTGGTGGGGGTTTTAACTCCCCTGCGCTTGCCAGCTACACATGGGCAAGCCAAGCTGAGCAAAGCAGGCTCCTGTGATCAGAGAAAGTTCTTAGACAAAGAAATGCTGGTGGTGGCACCTGGAGGTGGGGCCAGCGTGCAAGGAAGTGGTTAGTGTGACGGCAGTGGGTGGGGTTCTCTCACAGGGGTTTCCTATTCCTTTTCCTGCCCAAATAATCATGCTGTGAAGAAAAATCTGAACTATCATTGGACGCCTACTAAATGTCAGACATTGTCATATGGAAGGACCCTAAGATCTTTCAATAATATAATAACATGCTGATGAAGAGTAAGATTGCCTCTGGCTTCTATCCCTGCTCCTCAGTTTCCTAGCTGCTAGCCTTGGGCAAATTACCCAACTCTCTGTGCCTCGGTACTTTTCACAGGGGGTTATTGTGAGAATCAAATGAAATAGTGTTCTGTGAAAAGGCAGTGTGTGCAAATCAGCCCCCAAATGCCGAAGGAGCTGAGAGACCGAAGAATGAGGTAGACAAGTCCAGCTTGCTGGTTAATAAATTTAACAGGGAACTTACTTACAGGAAATGCTTGTCTTGGGCAGTGGCAAGATACGATCTCTGCTGCCTTCCCCTCCTAGACCACCTTCTTTTATCCTCCCTCCGAGATGGACCTGTGCGCTCTGGGAGAGTGCGTGGGTGATCAGGGGGAGATGAAAGGTCAGATGTCAGCAGGCCCTGGAGCCAGGATGACCTGAGAGATTAGATAACACCTAGGGCTCCTTGACCCAGAGGAAGGGGTAGTGGAAACTCAGTGACTAGCCAGAAACCTCTGTACACATTCCAGAGTCCACCTGGGGGAAGGGGGTGGGGTCAAAGGTTGGGGCTCATGCACTCAGAAGTTAAGTTGGCAGATTCTCTTCAAGATGGAGTCCGCTTTGCAAGATGGAGTCAGCTCTGTCCACACAGATAGTAAAATATTTAATGAAACATGAACCCACAATAAGGGTTCCCTATTTTAAAAAAATGTTCATTTTGAAATAACCATAGACACAAGAAGTTGCAAAAACGTCCAGAGAGGTCCCCACATCCCCTTCATCCAGCTTCGCCTAATGCTAACATCTTACATGGATGGCTGTAGCACGTCATCAAAACCAGGAGCTTGGTGTTGGCACAATCTGATTAACTAGACTACAGACCTTCCCTGAATTTTGCTAGTTCTTGTATGCACTCCTTTTTTCCCGTTATTTTTGCTTAACCTTCAAAATAACCCTGCAAAGCAGATATGATGATCCGTATTTTCCAGAGGAGAAAACAGAGGCCCAGTGATCTAATTGCCTGCTGTCACTCACCCAACAAGCAGAGGGGTCCAAGACTCCAACCCATGGTTTCTGACTCCAAACCCCAAACTCTTTGCACTCACCCACAAATCTACAAGTTGGCAGGAGATTTCCACAGTGTCTCCTGAAATGAAAGGGCCCCGTGAGGGGGTCTTGGAAGGCCAGCAGGGAAGTGCAATGTTACAGCCTTGCAGATGGAGCTGGTCTGCAAATTGAAGGCAGCCATAGCTGCTGGCTTTAAGAGGCTTCTTCCCTGCCACACACTCACAAAACATGGTCTCACCAGGCTCTCCTGTGCCATCGTTGATACTCCCCCATCTTTTTTTCTTCAGAGCTCATTTTGCATTAAATATAATTCTTCTACTGCAAAGTAACATC